TCTATGCGCTCGTTCGACAGTTCTTCAACAAATGCGGCCAGCACGGACTGCATGTCAACATCCCCGGACCCGACGTGAATTGGTCGTGGTCGTGGAGACCGTTCCCGCGCCGGTGCAGCGACCGGTACGGGATGAAACTGCCAAACTGCGCGTTCAACCCAACCATCAATTCGCACACATTGTAGCCCCGGGTCAACTCTATCCTCAACTTTGAGCCATGACCCATTCTTCAGAAACCAAGTGGAACGAAGCCACTTGCTCCCAAACGGTGTCATAACCGCGAGTGGAGGTTTCACACGCATCAATCTGGGTCCCTTGGCAACAACAACCGGATCATGTCCTTCATGCTCATGCAATCCCTCTTTGGATGTTAATCCAGACCACCATAGGTCCGGGGGCATGATCGGTATGTGTGTGTACGGAAATGTTGGAACTCCGTCAACTGTCCCCGAAGCGGTCTGCATGGTCCCCTTTATGGGATCACACGTGGGTGTGAGCGCCTTGAGGGTATCCGGGTCAGACAGCAAGCTCGGGTCAAGTAGACCAATCTGCAAACATGCATGTTTCCATTTGCGCCCATCATTGAACGCCTTGGTGTAAATATCGGCCGCCATCCTGTCGGTGACCTCATACGCCAAGTACATGTAATCACGTGTGAACATCTCATGCATCCACGAAATGCTAACACCATGGCTTCTCTCAAGGTGGCGCATCGTGGGGTTTCTCCCCGATCGCACGACACCGATCATAGCCTTGTTATCGTCATAGAACACAAAGTTCGGTGACTTCTTGAGAATCCGCTCTACCAGCTTGAGAGCGGGCATACCCATCGATCTCATGGCAACATCGGCCGCAACAATCTCGGCCTCGGGAGTGGAGTGACTCACACAACCCTGTCTTTTAGAGCTGCCAGACAACGGAAACCGGGTATTAGGCCCTTGTATATTCAAGTGTCCACCGGAGGTGGAACGCAGCGAGTCAATGCATCCCGCAAAGTCAGCGTCCGCATACAAGGCCAAGTGCACATCGTCCATAGGGTCTCCAACCCAACCGACCATGCGCCAATGTTTGGTATGATGCACATAGCACATCAAGTGATGCAAACCCCGATCATCGGAGTCAGTCCACCTATGCACGTTCCGTGCTAGGCGATTCACTTGCCGCAACAAATCGAAGCGAGCAATCCGCGCACCGTACAGCAACTTCATCAGTACGCTAGCGGCATGCGGAGCAAGGTGTCCACGCACGGGCTCCTTCATGGCCAACTCAGGAGTCCCTCCCCGTTGGTCCGGCACTGTGGCAGAACCGTCGGTGGGCACAAGATTGTTACACCAATTGCACACGACTGACGGCCCCTCTCTGGCAGGCTTCCGTGAGACGTGATTCTTTGTTTCTTCATGCAACTCAGGGGTGACAACCTTATTCAACTTCACATCGCCCGCCACTTCAAGATAGCGGTCGACACAGGAACGTAGGAACTGTTCCATGTCATAGGTCACCGTTGTTACTCGGTGTCCGTTCCCGAGAGTGACGTTTCCCTTGCTTTGATTGCAACCAAGGTACATGTCAAGTCCAGTCTCGGGCTCAATCTTCAAACGTGTACGCAACATGCTCCACCCTTGGGCAAGGTTCTTCTGCGGCCCTGCCATTTTGAAGTCGTCGACATACACAACCAGAACAAGCTGGAGCTTTTCGTGAATGTACACTGAAGGCCATTCTTCGCCGATGGGCTCAAAACCAACGGCACGCACCGACTCATCGCAGTGCTGCTCCCAAAATGTTCCCGCATCTGGGTGTCCGTACAGCGCCTTCCTCAACGGGACGACTGGTCTTCTGTACTTATCCCATTTGCATTCACTTGGCACGGCCTCCGGTGGCAATTCAATCCAACACGGCGTGCCTCTCAAGGTGGCCTGTATATACGCCTGAACAGCGTCGGCCATCTGCACATCCCAGCCATCATGACAACCCAGAAAATCCGCCCAACGCGAGGCTTCAAATGAAGCAGGGGAGTTCCCCAAATCTTGAAACATCGCAGCCTCAAAGCTTTGGTTCTTCACTTGGTTCCCCAGCAACACGCCTCTACCCTTGAACTTCCTCTTAGGATCACCAACAGGCAACTGTGAGTGCTTTTCAACGCAAATGCCATGTGCGCGAGCCATGTGTATTTCCTCCCCCTTCGCTTTTGCTTCTCTGGCTACAGCGTCATATTCGCGCACCGCGCCAAGATCGAAGACCCCCTGGTCGATTAATCCCGACCACTCTTTCTTCATTGATGCCAATGCATCAGGGTTGGTCAACATCTCTTTCCGGCCTACCGGCCTGGATACTAAAGCGTCGAAGAATCGTACAACTTTCACAGCTTTCTCTCTGTGCTGTATTCGCTCAGAAGTCACGCACGGCATCGATGGGTACTTCTTGGCTTCACCGTCCTCGCCTATCGCAGGCATTGCGAGTGGCACTTTTCCAGAAACTATCTCAGCAGACTCCTCCCATTCATACCAGGTGAGGTCCGTCGATTCGTCGACCGATGGATCCGTCCCCGATGCTGTCTCAGCTTCGTCTTTATGACTCTCCATGACTGATGCAACCGCCTTCGTCCAGTTTGGAGTCGACTTTGATCGCTCCTCAGACTTGAACTTCCAGGCATAAATTACCACCAGACACTCAAATTCTTTCTCAAGCTGAACGTTTCGTCTCATGACGTCTTGGGACTGTTTGGAATCCATGAGAACAACCACCCCGTCGACAGGATTAACAACAATCCTGACCCATTCAAGCTCAGCCAAGTGCTTCCCATCCATTGGGTTCTTGATCTTTGATATGTTCTTCCGCAATCCCCAATTGTACTGCCATTCTACTCCACCCCAGCGGTTCCGAAGCATCGCTCGAATTCTCTTACCACCGGGCATCTGTAATGTCCGTGCCTCTGCCGGCGCGGAAATCTCAGACTCCTTACCCTTGGGATCTTCTTCTTTCCTTTTGCCACCGCCCTTCACCTCGGCCTTCTCTTCCTTGGTGTAATATTTACTCATCATCTTCCATTCTTCAGGAGTGAACTCCGGAGGTCTCGATGTCTTCATTAGCCTGAATCCATCCTTCCCGACAGGATACGGTCTTCCGGCCTTGTCGATTTTAACCTCCTTGCCATCGTCGTTGACGTACGTGATGCCATCCCCAGGTAGTCCAACTGACACGTGTGGAAGGTCGGACTTTACAACCTTCTCATCGCCCTTAGGGTGTCCATCTCCCTTCCCTTTTGAAGAGCTCGGTCTAGCATCTTCTTCTCCTGCATGATCCCCCCGATCTCCGGCGATTACCTCCGGGCCATCGTCGAGCAGTAGACCAGCGATCTGATCGACCTCATCGTCAAGCAGTCGCTTCTCGTCACTCTGCAGCAATTCAGGCTCGTAGTCCTCATCTTCGATCAGGCGGTCACGCGCATCCAGACCGATTGCATCGATAGACATCTCTATCCCTTCCAAAGTCTCGTTGGCAACCTTGTACTTCTGTTGTATTGGGAATGTCAGAGGAGATTTCAGAATCATCCTCTCCGTCTGATGTGGCATTCTCAACCGAGGCGGAACCTTTGCCTTCTTGATGTTCAGCTCTGCACCCGCAAATGCAGTAAGTGCCCAAGCACGATACTTGTTTGCCCAATGCATACCGGTGCTCAACACATATCCAGCAAATATACCAGTTTCCCCTCTCGGCTCGAACTTCTCCCTCTTTCCCCCTCGTGCTTCACTCGGCTTGAAGTCCACTAGCGCACCAAAAGGTATCTTCTCGCCCTTGAACTCCTCGCCATGCAGCCTCATCCATGCACTCGATCCGTTCACCTCTTCGATGTTCATGAGATGGCACAGAGTGGTGATGGCTTGCACCCAATAACACGTGGGTAGACCGGCATGTACTAGACAAGCCGAAGTCTGGTCAATGATGAATTGATTTGTTCTTTCAGCAAGGGAATTGTTCTGCGGCCGTCCAGGCAGCGATAGGTCGTGGTTCAGCTTCAGCTCCACGCACGCATTGATCAGTTCCGGGCCGTCATCCGAATATACCTGCTTGATTTTCCTCCTCCCGCAGAAGTGCTTGATAGCCCTGACGACTGAGTCAGTGTCTCTTCTCGCGGTGGGATAAGCCATGATAATTCCGGTATATATGTCCCGGATGATGAGCGCATACCTGCCTTCCACTTCATGATCTCCTGATGCCGTCACAAAGTCGAACGTCACCAGGTCACCGAACGTCTTCACTTCTCTTTTGAATGCTCCCGTTCGTGATCTGAAGTGTCTCATCTTTGCCTTGACGCATGATTCGCAGAAGGGATTTCGGTATCTGTGTGTAAGCAAATGAGCTATGGAATTGGCGTCCTTCTTGAGGACTCCCACTTTCCTCTTTATTGATGATCCTTCGTACACGTCTACTTCGATTCCGGCATCTGGATCATCTTCATCAACCTCTTCCTCGTGAGCTTCGGCATCACCATGTCGATGCGGGACTGACCCAACATCTACAGGTATTTCCTCAGCCACGGGAGGCGGACGTACCGGACCGGCTCCTCCGGGTGGCCCGAAGTCGAATGCCCCGTCGTGGTGTTCGCCCTCGGCCTCTGCGGACTCACCGACAGCGGCGGGTGTGACGTCGTTCTCATCGTCACCTCCCTGATCTGCCTCGTCGTTCGTTACCATCGCCAATACTTCCGAAAAGTGCTCCTTGAGGTCGTCTATCGTAGGGCGATGCCTGTTACTCCGAAGTTTACCATCACTCACTAGGTACGGGATGTCGTCCTTGACCTGCAAGTGCACGAATCCCTGCTTTGGCGTAACCATGAAAGGTAGTTTACCAGGCATCCAGTGAAATGCAATAACCATCTTCATGCATCTCCTCCCCACTGACAATACCGTGGGTGTCTCATCCAATACATGCGGCTCGACAGTCTCGTCCAACTCGTCCACGACTATCTTGGCCACATCAGATGTGGAAGTGGAACCATTCGCGGTCTGGAACACGATCTCGTCGTCATCTTTCACGATGTCGACACCCAGGCTCTTCGCCTTGGCTCTTCCGATGAGATCATGACCACATCCGGTGTCCATCAACCATTTCACCCGTTTGCTGATGCACGTTGACATGGCGAAAACGTTCTTCGGCATACCATGCTGCTTCTTCCAGTCGACAGCCGATTCCTTGATCTCGTCCTTGTTCCGATCATACTCGAACATTATGCTGCTCTCCTTGGTCACCGGGAAGTAGTGCTTCTTATATACATCATCCACCACTTCTCTCAGTATCTTCGCACGTATCAATGATCGTTGGACTTGATAGGCTGATAATTCACGATGATCACTGCTTTTGAACTTCTTCTCATCGACGTACACGTACTGATAAGGCTCATTCTCATTGTCCTCATAACCGTACCATTCCCCTTTTCGTTCCCATTGCCTTCTCTCGTCTTCGAGGTAGGTGATCTCCCCATTCTCGTCGACGTCGAGCACTTCCTTGAACCACACCATTTTCTCGGGGATCTCGGACTCGCCAGACCATCTCGATGATTCGCTCATCGCGTCGTCATCGTGCTCGTGGTAGACAGTCTCGGCTTCGTCCGGTTCGACCTGATCAACGTCCTTCTTGAAGCTTACCTTCCCTGCAGGAGCCGATTGCTTCAGGACTATCGCGGGCATTGCGATGGCCCTCCTCGCAATGGCAGGCGCTGCGGCTTTGGCGGCAGCCTTCGACTTGGCTTGCGCCTTGTCATTTGACGTTGCTGGAGCTGAATTGTTCTTGATGAGCTCATGCCTGTACTTACAAGCGCTTCCCCTATCGCACTTCCCCTTCTGAAACGCGAAGCATGCTCCATCATCCCTCCTTGGTGACGATGATCTGGACTTGGATTTGCCCTTTCCTTTCCCCTTGGACATGCTCTCCAACTTATGCTCCGTCTTCTTGCTGTGGGAAAAAGTGCATTCATTTCCTTTCACGCACCCCTTCGCCGATTTGAAGTGGTACCAGCAGGGGTTATCCTTGCTTCCGCCCGGACTCTTGCCTCTGTCGCTGGCACCGTCGGACTTGCCGTTCTTGCCAGCGTGGCCCTTTGCCTTGGCTTTTGGGAGCACAGGAGCGGCATCAGGTCCACCGGGTTTCCCCTTTCTGCCCTTGCCACCCTGGTTCTCCTGTTTGCCAGTTGCTGGAGCCGCATCCTTCCCGCCTGACTTCATCATCGACTTGACCGATTTCTCCTTCATGTCGAGCATCAGGTCTTCCCGATCTGCCTTGATCTGATAGTCGATCAACGCCAATAAGAATTCATACGTCTTCTGAGGATGCTTGTCCGGTAGTCTATGGTAGGCATTGAGGCCGAACTCCATCTTCTTGCTCCCTTTGATCTTCCTGTAAAGGATGTCTCTGAGAGCCAGCTTACTGGGTCTGTCCTCGCTCCTCATCTTCAGCAGCAAATCATACCATTTGTTCCTGAACATGACCAAGTTCTTGTCGCCAGGAAAGTCAAGGTTGAATAGATGCTCGATGTGGTAGACAAGATCCGTTCTATCGGAAGTTCTGAATGATTGCATAACTAATGCCACCAACTCTCGTCCCTTCACGATCACCCCTTGTTGATGTCGTAGTTCAGAGTGTCGTGTAGCATCGAGGTATACGTCCTTGGCTTCGTCAGGTGCTTGTTTCAGCATGTTCTGCATGCCCATGGCCATCTTAATATCTATCGTAGCAAATCTGTCGCCACCTGAATCGCTAAGCAAATCCAGGTCTGGGTTCAACCCAAGAGCCTGCTCCAGCCATTTCGTCCATGCGTCGGTATCTGGATCTGCACATGCGCTCAGAACATTCATCAGCAGTTGCATCTTCCAGGTGTCAAGTTGATGGATCTTTGGCCAGGCCGGAATAGATACTCTCTCGGCCTCTTTCCTCGAGATTCTCGGTCGATCATTCTTGATCTCTCGGTTATCTCTCGATCTCCTTCGTCTCCTCCGTGTCCGATCGTCTTCTTCCTCTTCTTCTTCCTCGTCTTCCTCATCTCCTTCGTCGTCGTCATCCTCATCCTCATCATCGGGTGGATCATCCGGAGGTCCTCCTCCGCCACCAGCGAGGCTCAACTGACGTCGACCCGCTCCCTGCCCATTCCCATTGGGCGGGAATCCACCGTAATCCAATGGGGGCGTAGTACCGTTGTTTCCCCCCCATCACCACCACCAGTCGTAGTAGTGGATTGTGGGACATGCCCAACAACCCCTTGCATCTGGGATAGGTGTACATCGATCATTGGATCACCGAAAGACGGAAAGAGGATCGAACCTGGCATCAGCGACGAATTAGGGATTTGATTTGAAGACGATGACGGGACTGACCCAGCCACCTTCTTGTCTATCCTATTTGAATTAGCCTGGGTTCCTCCCTCAGCGCGTTTCACTACTGCTCGTTCACGATGTCCATCTTTGCTGCTGGAGGCTTCCTGTGTCTCCAGCTTCTTGTGTGCACGTAGTTCCTCGTTGTCAGCATCGAGTTGGCGTACAAAACTCTCTTCTTGCTTGAGCGTCGCCTCTCTTTCTTTCAGTTGTCTCTGAAGCTCATGCATCTCCTCGAGGTACTCATCGTACATTCCCTTAGCTGTCAATCTCCAGTACTCAGCCTCCTTCGACTTCTCGTCCATCGTGCACCGTTCCTCTTGTTTCTCTTCTTTGACCTGGGCTAACTCCAAGATCGCATCCTGACGATGACCACCTTCGACAGCAATCATCTGGTCCTTCATCGACACGTCGGACTCATACTGTTTGACGATCTCTTCTTTTTCGCGAAGCAAGCAATCTGCTCTCTTCGATTCCTGTTCCGCAAATACTGTAACGTCATTCAGCCTCGTCATCAGCTGTTCCCTGGAGTCCTCCAAAGAGTACGTCTCGGGGCGCTTGACGAGTGCATGCTCCAACTGTGATTTCAGACTTTGGACCATCTCCTCCTCGTTGAACTTCTCGATAGATGTAGAAGATTCTATGCCTCTGATCTGTTGCTGATAAACTGATATCTGTTGTGAAGCCTCACGGTGTATCTGATTTGCACGTATAGCTGATTCCTGCGCGGCCGACTTCTCGCTTGCCATGTAGGATCTCATCAATGCAATCTCCCGCTTCTGCTCCATGATAGTTCCTTCAGCTTGCCTCATCTGTTGCATCATAATATTCGACTCCATGTCTTTCTTCTCCCCGTACTGAAATGCGTTCATTTCCACCTTGCGCATCTGTTGGGCTTCTTCCTCAAACTTGCGCCATGCCTCAGCCATGTGGTGTTGGTGGTGACTCACTAGATGTCCCGACTGCTTGCTGGCAATCTCGCATCGTCTTTCCAGCTCCTGGATCCGGATGGTGCTTCCATAGTCTTCTTGGTTAAGATTCGCCATTGCTGCTGACATTTCATCAAGTGTCTTTTGATATTCCCCGATCTCCACCTCCATCTTATTCTTCTCTTTGATCACGGCGCGAAAATCTGCACTGGTGGGTGATTTTGACCTCCCACCCTTCGATGTCGATCTCACGCCCTTCTGCGACGTCCGTGGTGTCGCAGGCGAAGATGATGATCTTCTCGGTGGGGATTCTCTTTTCTTCGACTCCTGATGAACATCGATTTGCTTCCATGATCTTGTGGGAGTAGATATGTTGCTGAATAGCGCGGAACCCCCGCTCCCAGGTTCATCCTGTGAATCTGCAATCATATCCATCACCGCAGGAAGAGCCATCAATCCATTGGATCCCTCTGAGCTGCTGTTCCCAAAAGTTGCAGTACTTGGGCTCGCCGAAGACGCCATTGTACTGTGTATGTTATCGTTCCTTTATTGTCCCTGTACCCGCAATAAACCAGCTGTCTCCCAGTCCAGTGTAGAGCTTGTAGTTACGGCTGATAACCTGTCAAGAGACGGCAAGGTGACGTCCCGTGGGACGCTGTGCACCGAACCCTCAAGCTTTAATACCAACCACGTAGAAAGGTGTATACGGACGATGCCGTTATAGCCGAACCCGTGTAAACGTTGTAAGGGAGAAGGAATGATAGTTACAACAGTAGTCCTGACAAATGCGGCGCAAGCAGTTGTTTTGCTCTTAATGCCGATCACGTAGGTCTGCAGTCACACATCAGATCTTGAACCTCAATTGTGTCTTGAGCCAAATGGCGATCAATGGAACTTGGGAAGCAACACCAACAAGGACCTCAGAACAGCTACCCAATTTCGGCACGGGGCCTAGAGGGTTTTGACAGAAGTGCTGCGCTGCACGCGCGTAGCTACAGGAGCCAGCCTTGCAAGCCTGGCCAGCCATGCGGCAAAGCAAGGCCCACTCTGTCTCCTTCTCTGCGTTGGACCTGTCACGAGCTTGCTGCCAGTCCGAGGCCTCCTCCACGTACTCGCCCAACTTCCGCTGGTTCTGACACACCCACTCCTGCATCTTGCGCGTGCCATGGTCTTGGGTGTAAGCCATCACTGCCGCGGGAGTTTGCAAGTCTTTCGCAACGATCAAGGCCGTCAGGTCCAGCTTGGAAAACTTGGCCGTCGCCTTGCTCGCGCTGCACAGCCTCTTGCGCTCCGCGTTCTCACTGCGCTGGCGCCAGACCTCAGCGTTCCAGGGCTGCTGCGCAGCCTCAAAAAGGCTCCAGTCCTCTCCGTCTGCGGCCCACTTGAAAGGCTCCTCGTCAATCACCGGCTTCTCGCAGGTGGCAATGGCGCCATATCTCACAGCTGACCAAAACTGCGTGTGGGAAGCGGACCAATGACTTGCCACGTGGTCCCGAGCCCTAAGAGTTCGCTTGGCAACCGTCCATCGCCTTTTGCAAGACAAGAGCACGGCAACATGGAATTATTTTCATTAGTTGGAAACCCGGGCCGGAAGGATCCTTTTATAAAAGGTCAAGCCAATTCCAAACACATATAGTATATATCTATCCAGAGTCCAATGACATGTATAAAGTCAAAACTCATACAGATATAAAACCTGAAATGATATGTCGCATCTTTTCCAGTGCAAAGGGGCGTAGTCTGCATTGGTCCCGAGCTCTGGCTCAGGGGCAGGCAAGAGAAAAAGCGCCCGGCCAGAGCGGGCGTACAGATGGAAGATTTCGGGCGGGAGTGCAAACGGGGTGGGCAAACGAAATAATTCCATTGCGAAATGGCAAAAAGGCGCCCCACCCACCCACCACTTGATCCAATGTTACGGATCAACAAGAGATGAACAAATTGGCAACAACCGGCCCTAACTTTTGCAACTCAAAAGTTGTTTCCAACTTTTTTTCAAATAAGGCGTTCATCCCGATAAATCGGGAGTAGCACACTTATTTTCATTAGTTGGAAACCCGGGCCGGAAGGATCCTTTTATAAAAGATCAAGCCAATTCCAAAACATATAGTATATATCCATCCAGAGTCCAATGACATGTATAAAGTCAAAACTCATACAGATATAAAACTTGAAATGATATGTCGCATCTTTTCCAGTGCAAAGGGGCGTAGTCTGCATTGGTCCCGAGCTCTCCCCCTTTTAGGAAAAACGACCAATGCTCTCAGCCCCCAAAGCTTCAGCTACCTCAGTCCATCTGATTTCCGTCTCCACAGCTCCCAACGCTTTGACTTGATCAAAGCGGAGCCTGCTGGGAGCATCGGCGATGTTCGAGCTGGCCGGTACTCTGGCGTACCAAGCTTTGCACTGGCATTCTATTTTAAGATGCGACACACTTGCCATCAGAGACCTAGCGTGACAGGTCGCTCCCAGGCTTTGATGCACGCCGATCTGGCATCATCATTGTCAATACAGCGCACCACTGATGCGCCTGAGAAACGCTGTCTCCAACAAGCAAGATCGATCAAGACAGGGATGATTTCCCGTGTGATTCGCAGGGAAAGGACAAGCGGCGTTCCAGGGTGTCCGCAGGAGCCTCACCTCCGAAAAAGGAACGCACTTCTCATCTGGAGTGAAACAGGACGCCCCCAACACTTCCCAATTTCTGTTCAGCTCCTTTATACGCACCGTCAGTAAAACAGTCCAAGAGCTCCGAGATGTAGGCAAAAAGGCTGAGGGGTCTAGCATTGCTCGCTCGCTCTACGAGGAAAATAATTGCAAACCTCTCGGACACGCTCGGAACATTCCTATTGTTTTCCTTCACTGCAAGATCGCCCAGGACTTTGATAGCATTGTCAGCAATCCTTCGGAAACTATGCTCTCGAACCAGTGCAAACGTCCCCGCAAGGATTCCGACTGCTTCAAGCTGACGTAACCACAGTCCAGAATGTCCTCAAGGACCTCTTGCAACTCCAGGCGTCGTTAACAAGTGTGGCCAAGCGCAATCTCACTCTATGATCAAAGGTCCAAGTCAACTTCACTCCCAGGGCGCGGAAAAACCTTCGAGAAGGCGCATGCTTTTGAGCCATCCCGCACAAATTCCAAACCTAGAAGCTGAAAAAGGCCTTCAACTGCTGCAGTAGCATTGGTCGCCATTGACCGTTTGCAAATTTGGTGTAGTACCCCAAACCATTAGCTGCTGCAGTAGCGTCGGTCGCCACAGACTGTTTTGCTGATGTGGCGTAGTCGTCGAATGAAGCACACCAAACAAGCCGTAATCCCAGCATGCCAAAGAAACCCCCCAGCCATGCCGATCCTCACGCGAATCATAAGGTTCCAAAAAGCAAAGAGTTGATGTCCAGAAAAAACGAACTCGCCCACAGCCTGAGTACCAAACAAGCCGTAATCCCAGCATGCCAAAGAAACCCCCCAGCCATGCCGATCCTCACGCGAATCATAAGGTTCCAAAAAGCAAAGAGTTGATGTCCAGAAAAAACGAACTCGCCCACAGCCTGAGTACCTGACCGCAATACGCCACAGACCGTTTTGCAGACGAATAATACGGCGCCATAGACCGTTTTGCAGACGAATCATACGGCTCCAAAAGGCAAGGAGTTGATGCCCAGAAAACTAACACGCCCACAATCTGCGTGCCTGACTGCAATACTCCATACAGCGTATTGCAGATATGGCGTAGTCGTGGAATTGAGCACACCGGCAAGCCGTAATCCCACCATGCCAAGGAAAACGCCCAGCCATGCTGATCCTGAGCTCCAAAAGGCAAGGAGTTGATGCCCAGAAGACGAACATGCCCACAAACTGTGTGCCTGACTGCAATACGCCATAGAACGTATTTTAGATATGGCGTAGTCGTTGCTCCAAAAGACAAGGAGTTTGATGTCCAGAAAACGAACTCGCTCACAGTCTGTGTGCCTGACCGCAATACGCCATAGACCATGCTCATCCTTTTCGAATCGTGGAACGCTCACGAATCAACTTGCCTTGTTTAATAGTCGGGTCGGCCCGAACTTCACCCCACTTCAAAGCCCGCCGCCCGACTGCTTTGGTTCCGGAAGGAAACTGCCAGTGCTGCTTTGCGACGTTTAGGAGCTCGTCCATGAAGAGCACGTAGCAGTCATATTCAGAAACAAAGGCTTGTACTTCGCCAACATGTCTCAAACCATGCGGTGCAAAATTGATCAGAAACGACCTGTTGCTCTGACAAAGATTGTAGGTCCACCTGAAAAGCTACAGTCCAGGAGAAAAAGCGGAAAGCAGCCTTTTCTGCAGTGGGATATTTCCAACTGCTATTGATGACCACAAATTTTGGCTCACGAGGAAGACCATCATCACGGAAAACAGCAAGTGGTTAAACCAGTTTCCGGGTGGACCACTATCGAGTCGTCTTCTTCTGTTGCATCCCGAGCAAAGAGTTGACCAGTTTCTCAAGGGAGCATGCGATGGCCCGGTTGGATGCCCAAGAAGCGATTGTGGCCGTGCTGGAATAAACCTTGTTGGCAGTTTTCCACGCGCAGTTTGTTCTTCTCGCGCAACCCAGGCAACCCTTTAGGACGAGCGAATCTCCACCGCCAAGACTCTCATGTTCAAATCTTGTATTGCACGGGAAAAACCTCTCAGATCCCGATGCACTGTTTTCTGATGCCCCAGAGCGACGCTGGCCAGCGAATCCTCGGCCCGCTGTTCCTCATCGGCATCACGCTCAACTGAGAAAACCCAGGTCAGCGCCCAGGATGAATGCTTGCCATGCGGACGAATTCACCATCCGCATCACGTCTCCATTGCTTCTGGCGACGATGCGAATCGACCGGCAAATGTCAGTTGCTGGCCCCGCAAGCGCTCAAACTATGGTTTGCCATGCCACATTCGATGCCCTTGCGCATGCCTTTTCATGCACCGACCATTTGTCACGTCCAGCTTGCAACCTGCTTTCAGATCGTACCCAAGCAAACAGCATCGCCCTCCGAATCCCTCGGATTGTAGCCCTGCAATTCCAACGGACCGATGAACTCTGCTTTGGCCGCGGGCTTCTCCTGCGTCTTTGGTCATGTCTCAAAGTGTAATTGCTTCATCCATGGGGGCCGGAACAGAGGTCAAACTGACGGATATAACTGCATATCTTCCGCCAAGATGGTGAACAGTTCCTGATCAGCCTTCACCAACTGTTCCAACCGCACACGGGTGTGGCCTTCGGGAGGATCCCGGGGCACCAGGCCCAGAAGCTGCTGCAACCATACCTGATGAATATCCAGGTGTGTCAGCCCGCACGGATCCAGCGCTGTTCCCCTTCGCTGCACCGCCCATTGCCAAGGCAGCTCGATCGAGGTGTCAACGCTGATCTCCTCGTCGGGTCCTCGAGGGGGGCAACCCAAATGACTGGGTCTGTGTCACACATTGAGGCCACCAGGTCGATGAAAGCATGCGATAGTTGCAGCTCGCCCTTG